ATCAACTATTCATTTGCAGCTCATGAATATTACGAGTGTGAGTACAAGCTTTAAAAAGCAAGCCCTCGTATATGATTGCTTCTCATTCTCTTCAATTGCTGCATATTGTTCACATGTAGAAGTGTATTTGAATCATTCCATGGAAAAGCAGCCCTTGAAACCTCCACAGGCAGCGGAGAACATTGCGTCCGTGAGGCTTTGTGCTTTTGAATGTGTTTCTCTGCGGTGAATGGGAATGAATACTGAGGGTGAGGGCTAACTCAATAACATGTGCTCTGCCATTGAACACTCACTCCTCCGCACATTATTCACTCTTTCTTTAAGAACATAAACCAAAAAGACATTCCGAAATTGATTTGTTGATCTGTATTTCTATTCCATTTTGTATCAACACAATCCAACTGACTTCTAAGGCTCAGTAAACTTTGAAAGTGGTTTTAATCTTTTGGGCCTCAGTCATCCAGCACAACAGGCAGACAAACATATGGGATCATGTGTGTGCAGACGCGAGGAGGAGGCCAGCGGTACCTTCTTGTAGTCCTTGAAGTCCAGCAGGTCCGGGTGTCTGTATTGGCTGCTGTTGGACAGAGGCAGCAGTGGGATGTTGTACACAGGTTTAACCAGAGCTCTCTGGGCCAACGCCTCAGCCATCACCTCCTCTCCCAGGTCCGGCATCACGTTTCTGAGGAGAACGTGAGACAAGTTGAGTGACAAGAGCATTTGTGGATCTTCTCCTGAGAGGCCTCCAAGTGTGGAATGTGAATGGAAATCTGCAACAAGTGGCTGGAACTTATGCCGCACAGAGACATTTTTCGTTTTTTCCCAACCACCTTATAGCATCACTAACAGGAGGGGTTTTAATCGGCGCTTCATATGTCATTCATTCACTCCATATACGGTGGTGATAAACTACTATTGTGTGGTTGGCTACAAACTTTGCAGCATTTAAAAAAAAACTTGTGTTTGAGTGTAGTCAGGATAGGGCCAAAAGACTACCTGGAGTTGAAATTTGGTGTGGTAGATGAGATTTGATGTTAGGATGGCCTTATTAACTCATTGCCTGCCAGCTCATTTCAGAACAGGTACTCCCATATTGCCAGCTGTTTCTGATGATTTTTATAGATTTCTCTAAGACCCACAGAATATTGTGTACTATGACTATCTGAAATCCAAAACCATATTCTGAAAGAGTGGGCTGTCTACCTTTAATCAGCAAAAAGAATTTTGTTTCTAGCTTGTTTCGTTCCCCTGTAATCCCCAGTTGAGTAGATGGAAGTTTTACTGAAATCACCAGAAAGCTGAGAAAAAAGAGGCACCACATGTGCACCTAACAGTTTTCAAACCATTCAGAGAGAAATGCTGCCACCTGCTGGCTCGATAAAATATTGCTTCAAGCCAATCCCCATACATATTAGATACAATAGACATCTGGGAACGTGAAAATACCGGGACACGCAATTGATTTGGTTTGACGTGTTAACACGTCAATGGCGGTCAATGAGTTAAATTCTTAGACAATCCGTGGTGTTGGCGGGGTATGCGCTCTCCGAATGCATGTACTATTACTTTACATTTATGGCTCCGTTAGAAAAAGTTGAATCAATCCACATGAACCAAACAGTACCAAGGTTTTACACTTTTGTCAGTGTATATCACCAATAGTCTAATTTTGTCAATTAAAAAAAAAAAGTGACAATATTCCAAAAATCATGTAAGTAGTGGAAGAATAAAATAAAGTCTGATTTATGAACCATTGATATTTCTTTCCAAAAGGCTTCGTTTCAGCACCTGCCCAAAACACTGACGTATAGTGACCTAATGACATAACCGTTACCAAAGAAGTCAGACACTATGTCCTGGTTTAAATGCTTTACTTTTCCTGTTACCTCTCACTGAATGTTTAGGGTGGTCACACTGCATCATTGAGTGGGCGCTAAAGCAACGCCCTGAAAATAGACTGTGGTCCCAACTGGAGCGCGGCGCAGGCAGGAAGCAGGTCCGGATAACAAGAGGAAATTGAAATCCATCCATCCATCCATTTTCTACCCTTTAATCCATTTCTGGGTCAGGGGGGTGGCAGTCAGAGATGCCACTCAAGTCTCATAGCACCAGCCCCTCACTGACCCTCTGCAGGTGGTGAGTCCACAGGAGGATGGCTGCTCTCTGAGTGTGAGCATAGCCTTGATCTTTCAGTGGGGGCTTTGGGCAAAGTGGGGTTAAGTGTCTTGCCCAAGGACACAACGACAGCAGTCATCAGTGGGAGTCGGTGGAGAAGGTGCAGAGGTGGGAATTGAACCCACGACCTTCTGGCCTTAAGACCAATGCTCTACCAACTGAGCTACTGTCGCCCTTTGTCGGAAATTGAAATGTCACCGCAAATCAAAGCACTTCAAGGAGACAAGTCCAATTTAAGCACTCTGACAGCAGCTCCGGGTGAGAAATTCATTCCCAGAACTTGTCATGTTCAGATGGATCACAAACGTGGCGCTCGGAGGAGGCAGGGAAGATAAAAAATAAATTACGCTGCAAAAGAATGCAAACATTGGGTCTATTGTGCGAGTGAGCAGGCAGGGGTAGTGAAAGGACTCGGGTAATGTAGCAGCACTGAACGAAGAGAGAAAGGAGCCCACGATTTTGACAAAAAGTGATTTCAGCTCATGAGAAAAGTCCTGCTTTTTGTGCCTGTCAGAAATTGCAGAAGTTTAAATATGTGCCCACTGCATCAACAGGGACACAATAACAAATAATGTGAAAGTACTGTACAAACACTAGTGTTCCAGTTTGACAGTCCATTTCTCATTGGGAATCTCTTCTGCAAATGGGGTTTGTGCAAGCCCAATGCAAATTGATGATGCATCCAGAACAGTGTACATAAATGTGACCCCAATTAACACGGACGGCCAGGCTCCACGAGAGACGGGGCTTCAGGGCAACAGTCGTAGGCAAAGTGTGAATATGTGGCGGCCCAACAGCCTCTGGTGGGGCTGGTGATGTAAAGGAGAGAACACCGTCATGCCTGAATATAAAATGGACGAGGCCATTTACAATTTACTTTTCGGCTCTCGTTGCACATGCAGTGGAAACAAAACTTGCTAATGAATAACTTTTCTTCAAGGAGGAAGAAGTTAATGGGACACACTTTTTGACTGCAGTCTGAAGCTGAGAACACTGCAGTTGTATTTCATACAGTCCATTAAGTGAATACAGTGTTTTTGGAAGTGAATAGTGAGCGTCTAATGTCCAGCAAAAAATAGCAAATAACATGCACCTGTTCTGCTAGTGCAAACTGAACATTTTCAAATTAAAACATTGGGAAAATACCTTACACAACTGGGCCATGGCAATAGATACATTCTCCAACATTCAAAGGGAGTTTACTTGGACCCATTTCATTACTGGGCCTCTCTAGGATACACTGACACCAGAAATGGCTGCTGGTATTGGGACCATGTTGACAAACTCATCCCATCTCAAGGTAGATGATGCAACGAGCACAAATGCATAGATTTAAAACTCAGCTTTCACACTCTGCACTTATATTCAGAATTTGACATCGCAATAATTATTTATTTTTTAAATCTAAAACTACGTCTTAATGCTGACGAGGCAAAGCTGATGCTTTTCTCAAAACATAAGCTACCTCCAACTCCCCCAGTGGGGTCCACTCTGAGGGGAATGTCATTGAAGTGGTGCATGAATACAAATACCTGGGAGTTATAATTGATGACGCCCTCACTTTTAAACGATGCACTTGTGAAGAAATTAAAAATTAAGCTGGGACTCTGAGGAGCACAGGGACTGGACTCCTGTTAGTGCCCAGAGTCAGAACTAAACATGGGGAGGCTGCTTTTCAGATTCCATCCATCCATCCATTTTCTACCCTTTAATCCATTTCTGGGTCAGGGGGGTGGCAATCAGAGATGCCACCCAAGTCTCATAGCACCAGCCCCTCACTGACCCTCTGCAGTGAGCTTTTCAGATTCATGCTGCTAAAATCTGGAACAGTCTTCCTGAAGATGTGAGACAGGCCTCCTCTCTGACAATGTTTAAAACCAGGTTAAAGACAGTTCTGTTAAGCTGTGCTACAACTGAGGGATTGTATATTTTATATTTTTATCTTTTTAATGTACTGTGATTATTTATGACTTTAATGCTTATTTTTGTTCAGCACTTTGAGTTGCCTTGTGTATGAATTGTGCTATACAAATAAACTTGCCTTGCCTTAAAAGGCGCCTTGTCTCTGCCACTTTATCTGTCTTAGATTATGGTGACCTTTTTATATGAATGCTACCTCTTTGCGTCTTGAAAAGTTGTACTCTATTTATCATGCTTCCCTGAGGTTCATCACAAACTGTAGAGCTCTGACACATCACTGAGCTGTACGCTCCCTGTCCACTAGGAGGCAGTGTCATTGGTACACCTTCATTTACAAGGCTCCTCTGGGACTCCTGCCCTCTGACCTCTGTACATTACTCACACAGAGGAGCACAGAGTCTTATGCTCTGAGGTCCAATGAGCAGCTGTTACTTACTGTGCCTTTTGTCCGCACAGAAAGCTCCTTCTGCTTGGAACATGCTCCAGCGAGACTGGAAGCTGACCAAGCTTTAGTCTTTGAATGCTTTTAAATCAAAACTCAGAGTTTTGGAGATGGCCTCAATCACCTGTAAATGTTTTACTTGATGTGTGTCGTCTGTATACCTGTCATTTTTTATTTTTGTTTGAATGTAATTGTATCTGTTGTGTTTATGTGTAACTTTGCTGCCTCTTGGCCAGGACTCCCTTGAAAAAGATTCTTAATCTCAATGGGATTTTTCCTGGTTAAATAAAGGTTGAATAAAAAAAATGTAATAAAATAAATGAATGTGTAAGTCTGTGTGTGGAGAAGTAAGTCTGGGCGTCTCTGCTCTGACTGCTGCCTCCGTGATCCGGCAAAATGGAATGAAAATAGGAGAAATGGATGGATGCGTTTGTTTACGTAGGTAGTATGCTAACAGGTAGTATGCTAACGCTGCCCATCGTCAAACTAATACCACAGTACTACAGGCTCTGGTACGAGTATTGGTAATCCTTTTTGCTAGAAATCGTCCTGGTTTCTGGTCCTTGTGTGTTGCATTTGTTCAAGGTCTGTTTTTGCTTAAAATTTAAGAACGCACTATGAAGAGGCTCGATTTTAAAAACAGGAAGACTCAAATCAACAAATTCCATAGAAATGTTTCTCAACGCATTCTACTCCAACCACATGAAAGACACATTCACATTCTTTCATAATCTCCACTAACTGCTGAAAGGTTTCACCACAGAGCTGTTCCAGTCTTACCTCTTCTCCACGATCTCCAGCGTGAGGTGCAGGAGTTCCCTCTTGCTTTTCTCTCTGCGTTTGATCATCTCCAAAATGGTGACCGCTCGACTCAGGTCCCGGCGCAGCTTCAGCATCTTCTCATAAGACGCCTCGTCGTTCTTTCGGTTCTAGAATCAACACAAGAGACGCAATAAGCATCATCCAACCATGGCCCGGTTAGTAGGTCAAGTTGGGGGTGTGGCTTTGACAATATCACGTCACATTCGTCAATTGGAGTTTGTCAGTGGACTACAGGCTTGTTTGATTATTCGCTGAAAAATGAAAAAATAAAAAGATTACAGAGATAGATACTGATTTTTCATCCGCCAGTGCATTTGATGTGCACTTTTTTTGTCAGGAACATGTGTGGCCTTGTTAAATTCAGGCATGCCAAACTAAATTGTTATTGACACAAGATATTACATGGGTTTTTAGAAATGCTAGATTCCAGTAAAGCCACAGCAGAGTTAGATTAAGACTTTGTAAAACAGTTAATGGAAAATGTTAAACCAATTCAAAGGTGGTGCTAGCTTTTCCTATAGCCATAACACAATATTTTCCTTAGATCAACTCTGCAGACACTTCTGCTCGTTTGTAATCTACTTGAACATTGGCCATTTACAACCGACCTGACAAAGGCTTGTAAATTTGCAGATCCATTCATTACTTCAATTGGGTCTTGTTAGAACAAAACATAACACTATCTCCCTCTCTTCGAATGTGAAGCTTTTTAAGTCTACGTCAATGTAATTACAATGTAAACCAATTGTGTGAAATCCCTCGTTTTACTGGAAAAGTCACAGTATAGGTGAGAGAATGCCACTTTGTACCTTTCTGGTCTGCATCTTCTCGGTCCTGCGTCGAAAGGCCACGTAGGGGTCGCTGGTGCTGGATCCGTCCCGTTTCTCCTGTTTGACGGCTGGGATGAGAGTTCCACTTTTACTGTTTTTCCTCTTGTGGCTCCAGTATTCAAACACTTCCTTTATCAACTCGTCGTCCTCCTTCAGAAGCAGCTTGGCCTCCTGCAGACTCACCAGCTGAAAACACACAAAGACAGTCAATAACTCCACAGCAGCCTTCAGTGGTGATCCAGGACACTCAACATTCAACATTTATGGACATTTATCGTTTGCCCATTATGGACCAATCAGTTTTCATTATCGCTGCATTTCTTGTGTTTGAACCGTTTCATTCTCTGATGTGTCTAGGCAAATTCAACAGTTTTGTAAAGTCTTCCGAGATGACTACTGTTATGATTTAGGGCAATCCGAGACTGAATTGAACTGACATTAATCGTTTCAGAGCAAAACTTAGTAATAGTTACTTTTGAGTCTCAAAACTACCTTATGTACAGCCCTACAGAGTCTGTATGGCGAGCAGATTACTACAAGATTACAGAAATATTTGAAGTTAAAGCTTGGGTACCCAACTTTGAAACTACAGCAACGGAATGATGTCACTTTCTCCTAGAACAGTTTTTCACATGTATGTATATTTGGCCTCTGTCATAGATCAGCTTGTTCAGACAGAGGTGAGAAAGAGTCCCTCACACAGTAACCCAAAGCCTCCAACTGTGACTCGCAGGGCTCTTTCTGGCAAAGGGTTAGCGAACAGTTGTACATGTTATGAATGAAACACACGAATGATTGCACTGGAGGAGTTTGCTGTTGGGGTCTGACCTGCTGTCCGCTGCCCTTCTCCAGGCGGTCGATCATCTCCTCAAACTGCAGCTCTGTGATCTCCATCTTCTTTTTCAGCTTCTTCACAAACAGGTCGTCCTCGGAGTCCAGGTCGTAGTCCGGCTGCTCCGTGTCCAGACTGAAAGCTGCACAACGCAAACATAAAAGTCATTATTATGGTGCTGGAAATCTGGTTCAGATACCAACAGATTTCAGAATAGCTTTATCCACTTCATTCTTTCTAAGAGTTTTTTTATTCCTTTTTAAAATCGTCCACGTTTTAAATGTCATTGATGTATTCAAGAAAATGACTTTGAAATGTTACGCGCACCTCCTCTCTGTACAGGTTGGCTGAACGCTCCGGGTGAGGTCCAAAAAAAATGATAAGAAAAATAATTCCAGAACGTTCTAAAGGCAACATTAAGGCCCCGTCCCAATTCTCACCCTTGCCCTTAGGTGTGAGTGCCCTCACCAGCAAAGTGCCTTCCCAGTGGGGAGTGCACTCGCAACATTCTCCCTAAGAATTGGGACACCCCTGGATCTAGGAGACAAATGACGCAGCAGACGTGTTCCACTTTGAACTGTCACACACATGATCAAAGTGTGTGATTTCACCACAGATAAGATCTGACACAGATATGACTTTATGAAACAGAGTATTTTTTTAAATTGAGACGTTTTTTAATTCTATTTCATATGAAGATTTGCTATAATTAGGTACAGAACTGTTGCACATCACACATTCGGAGACAGACGCACACACACAGGGAGACATGTACACACACAGAGCCAGACACACATGCACACACAGACACACATGTACACACACAGAGGCAGACACACGGACACAGACGGACACATGTACAAACACAGAGACAAACGGGTACAGCCGCAGTCCCGCGGACCACAAAGCAAACTGTCACAGCGACGCTCTGAATTACATTATGGATCTATAATAATAACATTCACCACGTCTCTGAAGCCTCAGTGAACGCCACACGCTGCAGCAGCTTCGGGAGCGAATGTCACCACACGGCACCAACACACGCATTAAAAACTAACTCGCACACACCTCGGAGCTTCCTCATGCTCCGCACAAACTTGCGCGCGGGTGTTTCATGTTGTTATCTTTCATTGTGGCGCGGCTTTGCCCGACTGCTGCTTTACCAACAGCTATCGTAATTAGGGGTGTGACGATATATCGCGATACTTTCTCCCGCGATTCGATTATCGATATGCATTTGCCAAGTATCGATATTGATTTAGAAAAAATAATATTAAATAAATTAATATATGGCTACATTATTTCATGATAAATAGAATGGAGATGAGTAGAGTATTTTTTTCATTTATTTATGCCATAAATTGGCATATTGTATATTTCTGACCAATATATCAATAATCGTCATATCGTGATAAAATTGTTATATTATCGTTATCGTGAGCTTTGTATCGTGTATCGTATCGTGAGGTACCCTTAGGTTCCCACCCCTAATCTTAATGCATCATGGGATCACCCTCACCCAAGTAAGCTCCGGACCTCACTTGCGCTCAAGGGTGGTTTTTAGGGCTGTGAAGGCCCTCGCCTCTTCTCCCCAAGTATTGGGACACCCTTCCACTCCCGCAGGCACGCGCAAACTCTAGGGCAAGTGTGCTTTTTAAGGGCAAGGGTGAAAATTGGGACGGGGCCTAAATTAGAACCAAGAGAAAATTAATAGATTCGTACCGCATCAAACAGTTGCCAATGCTAACGTCCCATTTTAAAAATCATCGACCAGATTACACACAATTTGTTTTGCCACCGCTTTAGGCTGCATGAACAATCATTGGATAAAGTCAAAATGAAATATCAGTTTTGAAGAGAACTACAGCAAGTAAACGCTTCAACAGTCGATATATAAAAAAAACTGTCCATTTAGAAAAAGGCTTTTCTCTCTCGAGGTCCACTGCCCAAAGTTTGTGCAAAAACAAACTATTTCATCTGGACTCTGGGAGGATTCAATAACAAAGACAAACAGACTTATCAAGCCACTTGTGAAGAAAATTGGCCTGTGGTTTGGTTTCACAAAGATAAGAGATAAGGCCTGAACAGAGATCAACAGAAAAGCAAATATAATTGAAAGATTATAGCGAGGTCTGCCAAAGTTACGTCCAAATACCATACAAATCTTCAAGCCGTTCCAACCCTTTCAGCAGCCTTTACAATTAAAATACACAACATCTAATAACCACTAAACCTCAAAACAACCATCAAACTAGCCATTAGTAACACATCTGCACATGTTCACATCTGAACACATGTTCACATCACTGAAAGCCCAACAGGTTTGCTCAAGTCAAAGTTAAAGAGGTACAGTGCCTTGCGAAAGTATTCGGCCCCCTTGAACCTTTCAACATTTCATTTCAGGCTTCAAACAAAGTTTAATTTTTTGTCAAGAATCAACAACAAGTGGGACACAATTGTGAAGTGGAACGAAATTTATTGGATAATTTAAACTTTTTTAACAAATAAAAAACTGAAAAGTGGGGCGTGCAATATTATTCGGCCCCCTTGCGCTAATACTTTGTAGCGCCACCTTTTGCTGCAATTACAGCTGCAAGTCGCTTGGGGTATGTCTCTATCGGTTTTGCACATCGAGGGACTGGAATTCTTGCCCATTCTTCCTTGCAAAACAGCTCGAGCTCAGTGAGGTTGGATGGAGAGCGTTTGTGAACAGCAGTCTTCAGCTCTTTCCACAGATTCTCGATTGGATTCAGGTCTGGACTTTGACTTGGCCATTCTAACTCCTGGATACGTCTATTTGTGAACCATTCCATTGTAGATTTGGCTTTATGTTTTGGATCATTGTCCTGTTGGAAGATAAATGTCCGTCCCAGTCTCAGGTCTTTTGCAGACTCCAACAGGTTTTCTTCCAGAATGGTCCTGTATTTTGCTCCATCCATCTTCCCATCAATTTTAGCCATCTTCCCTGTCCCTGCTGAAGAAAAGCAGTCCCAAAGCATGATGCTGCCACCACCATGTTTGACAGTGGGGATGGTGTGTTCAGGGTGATGAGCTGTGTTGCTTTTACGCCAAACATATCGTTTTGCATTGTGGCCAAAAAGTTTGATTTTGGTTCCATCTGACCAGAGCACCTTCTTCCACATGTTTGGTGTGTCTCCCAGGTGGCTTGTGGCAAACTTTAAACCAGACTTTTTATGGATATCTTTGAGAAATGGCTTTCTTCTTGCCACTCTTCCATAAAGGCCAGATTTGTGCAGTGCACGACTGATTGTTGTCCTATGGACAGACTCTCCCACCTCAGCTGTAGTTATCTGCAGTTCATCCAGAGTGATCATGGGCCTCTTGGCTGCATCTATGATCAGTCTTCTCCTTGTTTGAGATGAAAGTTTGGAGGGACGGCCGGGTTTTGGTAAATTTGCAGTGGTCTGATACTCCTTCCATTTCAATATAATTGCTTGCACAGTGCTCCTTGAGATGTTTAAAGCTTGGGAAATCTTTTTGTATCCAAATCCGGCTTTAAACTTCTCCACAACAGTATCTCGGACCTGCCTGGTGTGTTCCTTTGTCTTCATGGTTCTCTCTGCGCTTTAAACAGAACCCTGAGACTATCAAAGAGCAGGTGCATTTATACGGAGACTTGATTACACACAGGTGCATTCTATTTATCATCATCAGTCATTTAGGACAACATTGGATCATTCAAAGATCCTCACTGAACTTCTGGACTGAGTTTGCTGCACTGAAAGTAAAGGGCCGAATAATATTGCACGCCCCACTTTTCAGTTTTTTATTTGTTAAAAATGTTTAAATTATCCAATAAATTTTGTTCCACTTAACAATTGTGTCCCACTTGTTGATTCATGACAAAAAATTTTTTTTTTTATATCTTTATGTTTGAAGACTGAAATGTGGCGAAATGTTTAAAGGTTCAGGTTCAACACTTTCGCAAGGCACTGTATGTGAGGATTTTCTTCTTCTGGATGGATCAAATCTATTGGTCCTCCCAATTGTCAATCTTTCTGGAGATATGTTCTGGTCAAATAAGAGTTCTGTTCAAAAAGTGGAGAGGGCGGTTCTTTCCTAAAATTTAGAAAAATTCTCCTATAGAATGATGCACTACCACCATGAGTGGGCAGGGGGCACCACACAGACCTATAATCTTTTACATTTAAAAACAAAACTAAAACTAAACTACAAGTAGCTTTTTACTTCCTACTTTCACAATCATTTCCCAGGCTTTCTATGGTTAAGAACTGGGGCTGGTCCATTATCAAAATAATGTGATAATAATATGATTGTTGGTGAAAAAATCAAATGGTTAAGCAATTGTTATGTTAAAAAGCAACAATACGAAAGGGGAAGCATGTACCCAGATAGATTACTGTAATCTATCTAATCTAATCTAATGCATTATTTCAATTAAACCTTTAAAACAGCAATGACGGCTACTTTTGTAAAAGATAAACAAGATGAAAATAAATATCTGGCAAGTGTAGGTTTGTATGATCTTTAACTACGCATGTTTAAAACTCATTGAAGGTTTTCACGGTGTGGACAGCAGTTAATGTGGAGGTAACTGCAGGATCCTGTTGGAGCTGTAACAGTGGAAGAAAGGACTGTTTGGACTGAAGAGGGAGAAGAAAGGGACAGTCACATCCTCAGACCCATTTAAACGCTACACAACCACAGCAGAAAACGCACACCTGAAAGCTATACCAGTCAAAAGTGTTCTAACATTTTCTCCAACTTTAGCCTTTTTTAATATAGACACAAATGAAGATAATTTTACCCTCTGTCAGTTTTTTGTGAAGGACTGCTATAAATCTTGCAGCCACAGACTGGTGACGGTGGCTCAGTGTGAAACACAGTAAATCCATGACTCACGCTGTATGTGAATGAGCTGCTTTGGCATCTTGAACTCCCCAGGATACAGAGACTCGTAGTGGGGGATGTTGCACTCGGCCTCTGGCACCGGGATGACCATGTTGTCCCTCTTCTCGCCCCACACCTGCTGCGCTGAGATGGCCCGCTGGAGGTGGTGCTCCTGCAGAGACAGACAGAGGCCATGAGGTTAGAAACGTCACTAGGATTAAAGAGACTGCAGTCATCATCAGGGAAGAGAATATGGACTATCCTGAACAAAGTGTCAAATTATGTATGGCCTTTTGCATGTATCGTCGCAAAATGTCCATCCATCCATTTTTCTTCCCCTTAATCCATTTCTGGGTCGGGGGGGGGGGGGGGGGGGGGGGGGGGGGGTGGCAGTTAGAGCTGCACTCAGTACACAGAGCACCAGCCCCTCACTGATCCTCCTGCAGGTGCTGAGTCCACAGGAGCTGAGATCTTTCAGTGGGGGCTTCGGGCAAAATGTCACAATTGTAAAATATGACAATAACCAAAATGTGTCAAAACATGATTACAAAGCTATTTGGCCTCATACACAAGCCCACAGGAGTTTATTCATTGATTCTGTCAATCTTTTGTAAGAGAACAATCTGTCTCCTTCCCCAGCGTGAGGCACAGAAACGCTCGGGTCCACTTCGGTGACGAAAACCACACTGATGACGCGCATGACCCCGTTTGCTTTGTATTTAAAATGGTTTTAAAATACTTTTGTCAAAACGGGGTAAACAAACAATTAGTATGCTGTTTTTTGTCAAAAATAATAAAAAATAAAAATCAATTAAAAGCCGGCGGGAGGTGATTGACGGATCAAAAGTCCAGCGTCTGTGGTCTGGTCTCGCGGACACCACAGAGCTGCTGTTTTTATGCTTTTGTCAGCAACTAAAAGTGTTAGGATCACGTCAACTTGAATGAAGTATGTTATGGGTGTAAATATGTGAACACACTATTTGGCCCGAAGAGGAAGAAAGCGGCTCAACTTTTTTCATCTGTTCATCTCATGGATCTATTATAAACCGGTTCATCTGCGACACTTCACTGAGACTGTTCCAGAACTACAGGGACGATGGAACTGGACTTACTCAAAGGCTGATCTGGAAACACGTTATTCCCACGGTAAAACACGTAACTCGGACCCCTCGATCTGTAAGTAGTGAGGCTAACTCGCTGTATACTTCTGTAAACTAAATAACTTTGGATTGTTGTGTGGTGTATCATACACATTAATATCACACATGTGCAGAGGACTGAGTGTGAAACATGAAGAAAAGCGTGATATAGGACCTTTAAGGCACACAGCTAAAGCCAGATCCTTCACACAAGAATCTAAGCAGCCATGGACCTTCAATTAACTTGATTAATTTTGCAATTATCCTCTTGATTAATGTACAGTACGTTCGACATAAATATTTGCAACTTGTAACTTTATACGGCTTGCAGAATCATATTTATGTTTGGTCTTTAAATCTCTTCTTCATCACTGGCTGGACTAATTGCACCTGTATACAAATCACACCAGCTACATTTGAAGATAAAGTAAATCATGTCCAAACACAAGTCAAACTTGTAAATCCATTTGGACAATAACATTTTGGGAGTCAAAATAAGTCCATAAATTCTGCTCTGACAACGTCATGTACATTTCCCTGTATGCTCTGCTGTTCACATAAACACACTGGAAAGCAGGGAATCTGAGCTGTCATTGTATCAACTCTGGGTTTCAACGGCTGATGGAGCCATTTACAAATGTCTTCCTGCACCCTAGGGGCGCTGCTAAAAACACATACACATGACTACATGGGTCACAGGATTAACAAAACCTTGAAGTCGAGGTGAAGGTGGCTGTAATAGTATTTGGAAGTATTTCATATTCAATTTTATTTTATAGTTCTTTTAAATGACTGCCAAGTCAAATTCACATGTCAGAGATTTATCGATTACTCGTTTCAATAAAACATTCAACACATTCATGGTCAAAACGTAAAGTGCATTAACATTAGGGGTGTGACGATATATCGCGATATATACTTTCTCCCGCGATTCGATTATCGATATATGTTTGCCAAGTATCGATATCGATTTTGAAAAATTAGTATCAATACTCAATATATGGCTACATTAAGCATCTCCATTTATCATGAAAGTATTTTTTCACTTCACATTTTTATTTTATTTATGCCATAAAAATTGGCATAATTATGGTACATTTATAACCAATACATCGATAATCGTCATATCGTGATAAAATTGTTATCTTGATAAAATCGTGAGCTTTGTATCGTATCCGCAGGTTCCCACCCCTAATTAACATAGCTCTTTTTGTACAATCCACTGCTGCTTTGTGTTTGTTTCCATTGTGAGGTTATTACAAATAAAAATACTGTTGTTGACCATCATGTGCTCCTGAATCCAAGACACCTATAACACAACCTGGTTTCCCAAAAGATTTCTATCTTTTTTTATTTATTATTGTTTTTGATTGTCTCTCCATCTCTATAGTCCATATTACTAATGTCGTTCTTAGAACATTCAGAATAAGCCATAAACTTGATTATATCTTGATATTAGGTACAGCCTTCTGCTTTCACTTGTTGGACCTCTGCAGTGCATTACTGACACCATTGTGACGCATCATACAAACAGAATAACAAACAACATGTGAAAGAAGTGACCAAAGGAGCCAATTTACCCACAGTCTGTGTACACTTCACCTAACTTGGATGAAGCAAACACTTCCAAAACCCCTTCAAACCAAACAACAACACAGAGATTAACATTAAGAGATCCTTTACTCGTCCCCACAGTGGGAACATTTCAGTAGACATTCTAAGTTGAAGTTGGCTGGATGATGCTTTTGTTTGTGATCTGAAAGCTATTTCGGGTTAACAAGGCAGAGGGCCACAGAGCTAGCCTGACTCTGCCCAGACCCCTTGTAGTTCTCCGAGCGTCACAGAGGGTCTGGGTCTAATCCATAGCAGATGAATTTCAGAAGGCGGGCCTTTTAAATGAATCCGTGTATGTGATTGGATAAACCACCTGTCTGTTATCTTGAATGATGTGTTCCTTCAACCACTCACATCGATGCACACAATTCAGCACTCTACTCCTCACAGCGCTGCAGGGTTGCCAAATGCTGGCAAGATTTTCCAGCCTAAAACCTGCTAGAATGCCCCCAAATAAAACATGCAGAATGATTTTTTACCTAAAAACGTAATGTAATCAACTTGGGCTATCACTATTCTGTTTTTATGTATTTATTACCTACAAGTTGTTTGGAAAAAAAGTATGCAGGAAACCAACCAACCTGGCAACCCTGCTACATAGTGTTTCAACAGGAGAACTTAAAGCTGCACTAATGCCGCTTTTCCAGTCCTAGTACGGTACGTTTTGACTAACCGGCGCGCCATGGCCCCGTTCGCGTGCTTTTTCCATCAAAAAATAGTACCCCCAGTATGTCCTCAGCGTTGTCAGACCACGTCATTTTACGTGTGACGCGTAACTAGTACTGGTGCAGTGCATGGATTTATAAGTGTTTAATAGAAAATTCAACACAGCACGAGTAGTTTTTGAAAATGCTTATGTCTTAAAAGAATGACTCAGACACTGTGATGTCAATGGTGCCGACTGCTCTTGTACAATCTGAATGGACCTGTAGCAACAGCAGCCTGTATGTAGCAGAGGAGGGCTGCATGTTCCGAGGATACTTGCTAGGCTATAGCTAATGCTAACGCTAGCTCGAGACTCAGCTCAACTCACTAACCCTGGATTCCAAAGCTACTACAATACTCCACTTAACACATCTATCACTACCCTCAGAGGAGGATCCAGGGTTTAAACTCGTCATATGGCAACTCGAGCAGGACAGAGGGAGAGACAGCGGCAGCCACAGGGCGTAGCGAGTTAGCGGCTAGGCTAGGCTAAGCTAGGCTAAACTAGGCTAGTCCGGACCAGAGACCAGACAAACAATCGATACCCAAACCTCAGTTTACAATAATAATAAATTATGAAACAGTCTTGATACAATCACAGATTTATTGAAAAGTAAAGTGCAAAACCAGAGCAGTTTACAAAGTCAAAAGTACGTATGTCAGAGACCAGGTCCAGACCAAGTCCAGACCAGGGTCCAGATGAGAATAATCCGGTCACTCATTACTCGTTGGTAATCTCCACACCTTATGGAAAGGGATTCTCAAACAAATACACACAACAACATAAATACAAGCACAAAACAGAAACACGTGAATACTGCAGATAATACGAGATAAAGCACAGTAGCACAGGAGGACGTTAGCTTAGCTGCTATCGATAGCTCATAGAGGCTAAATGTAGCTAGCTCACTGTGTACAACAGACAATCAAACATGTACACAGTAAATACATTTCAGTGGAGAGCTTTAGGGGGTTCGTAGCTAACCAGTTATTTCAGGATTACCACAGACTAGTCACAAATCCAGAGCAATCTCCTGAAAACTGTGTTGAGCCTCGAGCTGCCTTTGAATTCTTTCTTTGGCCTGAAGAGAGGAACGTGTGGACCTCTCTCCACCGACCAGGACAGGACTTTTGGGGCTTTCTGTGAGATTCCATTTCTCTGGAGTGAGGAGGACGTAATGTAGCCGAAGCAGAGCCAGCAGAGCAGCCGCTTTTAAAGATGGCGGTTTGAGTTGTTTTTCCCAAAGGGTCAGAGGTCGCTTCCAGTGACGACACTCGTTGACCAATCAGTGTAAGGCAGTGGGCCGACGTCACGTCATGGCACGGGGTACTATGGGGATGGAACCAAGGCTGAGGCAGTACGGAAAAGTACTCAAATCTCCCATTCCATCCACTAGTGGAAACGCAAAATAACCGCGCTGAAGCGTACTGTACTGTGGGAAAAGCGGCATAACTAACTTGGGATTTCGAAGCAGCGGACTCGCTGGCCTCGCTCTTTCTCCTCCCCTCCCAGCACCCACGAAGCTATTGCCCCCCCCCCACTGCCGCACACCCACTGTTGTTTATGGAGCTAGCGTCTCCTAATATGGATAGAGTCATGTATCGCACATTTGAGCGTGGATGCGTGACCATAGAATGAAAGAACCGGGAAGCGCGGAGTAACCGGACTTTCTTTTGGCTGTTTCGCTGAGTAAGCAGTAACCGGTGATAAACAAAAGGAAGCTTCAGGTTAGCTCTGCCGCTATTGTTGTGCTAACTCAGCTGTCCGTGCTAAGAGGGACCTGTAGATTTCTCAAGAAAGTGGGGGCAGTGGGACCGCTGTGATTGGTCACAATCTGAGACCCGAAAACACATTTCTCTTCCTTGTTTCATCAAAACTTGATCTAAAATATAATGACACGTCAGCACAAACCTGCGCTACTTATTCTTCAAAAGGACGTTTATCCCACTGCACTGTATGGACCTGGATTTAACTCATGAATACAACAATAAAGTCAGTTAGTGCAGCTTTAAAACAGTACTTAAACCACACTTTTCATAAACATTCGAACTCATAAAACACACAACACGGAACCATGTACATGGAACCATCAACATGGACCATCGACCATCAACATGGAACCATGAACACACAACCATGAACACGGAACCACCAACACGGAACCATGAACACGGAACCATAAACATCTCGCCTCATTGCATTAAAAGTCACATGTCTTAATTCGTTTGTATTTAAACTTTATTTGCTAAATTCAGACTTTGTTCGCCATCTTGGTTTGATTTGGTTCTGAGACGCACGAGAAGGACGGTGCAAACTAGGCCTGCACGATATTTGAAATAAGAGCAATACTCGATATGAGTGTTTAGTATTTCGATAACAATATTAAGATATTTTTGTCATTTGAATGTCATTAATGACTAGGCCTGTCGCGATAGTCAATAAATCAATTAATCGCACGATAAATAAACTTTGCTCAATAACTTTTGTGGCCGCGATAAATCCCATTTGCATGCTTGTTTGTTTCCCCCGTCTCTCTCGGGTCAGAGAGCCGCAAAGTGGTCACGGGAACATTAGCGGTGTTAGCAAAACAGGACCTAAACCAAAGCCCGCCCCGCTGAGTTTCCGGTGGGCGCTACGCAGCAGGTACCGTATACCATACCAATAAAATACACTTATGGCGCACTTCTGTGCTGTATATAAAGTCTCTAGAAGGTCCCAGAGATGGTGAACCACATGTCAGTCTTCCGTCTGTGGGCGCCTACTTGTCATTCGCCTGGTGTGTGGGGAGGTGGGACTACTCCTGAGAGATCCTGTCTTAAACCACACCAAATCAACATGTTGGTATTTCTTTCTCGTAATCTGCCATAAAGTCTGAGAAATTATTGACATTTGAGGCATCTGTTTCATATTTTCTTTACAAAGGTCCTGGCAGTTTTATTCCTGGTCATTTTTTGTTAAGAGACTGAGTATTTTATTTATTGTTTTTGGTTGTTTGTTAATTTATTGTGTTCTAGCGTTAAATATTCGTTAAAATTAAAAGTTTATTTCTCTTTGTAAAGGTGTACCTGCATTGATCATTGTAATCGATGCAAATGATCTCAGAACGACAATATAATCGCTTTATCGCCAATAATTTCTGAGACAATTAATCGTCTAGCAAATTTGTTATCGTGACAGGCCTATTCATAGCATCATCCCCTCACTGGTCCTCCTGTATGTGGATTTTTGTATCACCCTAAAATCACAACAGATAACTGATCTTGGACGACTTTACCATGTTGTTGATTTGCGAACAAAGATCAGTGAGACTAACACATAACAATGAACAATAGCAAACATATGGGAGCCATTGTTCATGTGGTCCAATGTCCAAATAATTTTAGTAATGTTCCTTAAATGTCCTGGATTCATCCCACTTTCCTTAAACCCAGTTCAAAGATTCCAGAGCGAGTGTCTTGCCCAGGGACAAAACAACAGCAGTGGTAGTAGGGTGGAGTAGATTTTGTTGGGGGATCAATATCCATGGTCAATGCTCTAATAACTGAGCCACTCTCCCCACCCGGAGTGGATGCACATCTGCCAACAGCCGATCTGACGCTCAACCGGATGTTTTATCAACAGCAGGATTCAAAAATCCAAGCCTCAGCTTATAGAACAGAACCAATTGAGCTCTTGCTGCCACAGTGTTTGGAGCAGTTATGAAACAACATAAAGAACAGTCTTGTCAGTAAAAACTCATCCACGACTTCTGAAAACTCTGAGATGATAATAGAGGGAACAGAGGACGTCTCAAACACTACTGTATCTATTATTTGGAACAAAGACAGGACCCTCTATGGGCAGCTTACTTCAATCCCCTGTGAAGTCCGTCATCCATGCTCCATGTACAGTAGCTATAATCATCGACATGAGCCGTGCAGATGAAAACAATTATCCACACTGCATTGGTCTCCTTCTGGTGAACTAAGGCCTTGTCCAGACAAAGACAAAAATCGGGTCTCTCAGTCTGGTCTCTCTCATTGTCCCTTTCTTGTCTCTCTCTGGGATCTGTATCTGGTCCCAAAGAGAAGCTGGAGCTGGGTTTCTCTCAGAATCTTGTAACTTTGCATTGACTTGTCATTGATTTTTTCGCTGAGCTCTCAAACGCACCATGATTCCAGTAAAATTTTCTTATTAACTTCACATAACATAAAGACCTGTGTTTCTCATGGCTTTCCTTTGTGCTCTTAAATGCATCCTGCTGTCCCTGTCTCAGTAGTATCCGTTCACGTGGTTTGTACATGGCAGCTCATCCGCAACATGTTTTCTTCAATTGACTTAAATAAGAGTATTCATAGATATAAATGATCCTTTGATTATGTACATACTTATGTACATAATTATTTTGATCTCTCAACCAGAAAAAGTAGATTGGATTGAAAACACTGGGATTTTTTTCAAAGTCACAATCCTCCTCACAATAATACAGTGTCTTGCGAAAGTTTCGGCCCCCTTGAACCTTTCAACATTTTGCCACATTTCAGTCTTCAAACATAAAGATATAAAATGTTATTTTTTTGTCATGAATCAACAACAAGTGGGACACAATCGTGAAGTGGAACGAAATTTATTGGATAATTTAATTTAAACTAAAAAAAAAAAAAAAAAAAACTGAAAAAGTGGGGCGTGCATTATTATTCGGCCCCTTTACTTTGAGTGCAGCAAACTCACTCCAGAAGTTCAGTGAGGAGCTTTGAATGATCCAATGTTGTCCTAAATGACTGATGATGATAAATAGAATGCACCTGTGTGTAATCAAGTCTCCGTATAAATGCACCTGCTCTTTGATAGTCTCTAGGGTTCTGTTTAAAGCGCAGAGAGAAACCATGAAGGACAAAGGAACACACCAGGCAGGTCCGAGATACTGTTGTGGAGAAGTTTAAAGCCGGATTTGGATACAAAAAGATTTCCCAAGCTTTAAACATCTCAAGGAGCACTGTGCAAGGCAATTATATTGGAAATGGAAGGAGTATCAGACCACTGCAAATCTACCAAGACCCGGCCGTCCTCCAAACTTTCATCTCAAACAAGGAGAAGACTGGGGAGAAAAGCAGTCCCAAAGCATGATGCTGCCACCACCATGTTTGACAGTGGGGATGGTGTGTTCAGGGTGATGAGCTGTGTTGCTTTTACGCCAAACATATCGTTTTGCATTGTGGCCAAAAAGTTTGATTTTGGTTCCATCTGACCAGAGCACCTTCTTCCACATGTTTGGTGTGTCTCCCAGGTGGCTTGTGGCAAACTTTAAACCAGACTTTTTATGGATATCTTTGAGAAATGGCTTTCTTCTTGCCACTCTTCCATAAAGGCCAGATTTGTGCAGTGCACGACTGATTGTTGTCCTATGGACAGACTCTCCCACCTCAGCTGTAGTTATCTGCAGTTCATCCAGAGTGATCATGGGCCTCTTGGCTGCATCTATGATCAGTCTTCTCCTTGTTTGAGATGAAAGTTTGGAGGGACGGCCGGGTTTTGGTAAATTTGCAGTGGTCTGATACTCCTTCCATTTCAATATAATTGCTTGCACAGTGCTCCTTGAGATGTTTAAAGCTTGGGAAATCTTTTTGTATCCAAATCCGGCTTTAAACTTCTCCACAACAGTATCTCGGACCTGCCTGGTGTGTTCCTTTGTCTTCATGGTTCTCTCTGCGCTTTAAACAGAACCCTGAGACTATCAAAGAGCAGGTGCATTTATACGGAGACTTGATTACACACAGGTGCATTCTATTTATCATCATCAGTCATTTAGGACAACATTGGATCATTCAAAGATCCTCACTGAACTTCTGGACTGAGTTTGCTGCACTGAAAGTAAAGGGCCGAATAATATTGCACGCCCCACTTTTCAGTTTTTTATTTGTTAAAAATGTTTAAATTATCCAATAAATTTTGTTCCACTTAACAATTGTGTCCCACTTGTTGATTCATGACAAAAAATTTTTTTTTTATATCTTTATGTTTGAAGACTGAAATGTGGCGAAATGTTTAAAGGTTCAGGTTCAACACTTTCGCAAGGCACTGTATGTGAGGATTTTCTTCTTCTGGATGGATCAAATCTATTGGTCCTCCCAATTGTCAATCTTTCTGGAGATATGTTCTGGTCAAATAAGAGTTCTGTTCAAAAAGTGGAGAGGGCGGTTCTTTCCTAAAATTTAGAAAAATTCTCCTATAGAATGATGCACTACCACCATGAGTGGGCAGGGGGCACCACACAGACCTATAATCTTTTACATTTAAAAACAAAACTAAAACTAAACTACAAGTAGCTTTTTACTTCCTACTTTCACAATCATTTCCCAGGCTTTCTATGGTTAAGAACTGGGGCTGGTCCATTATCAAAATAATGTGATAATAATATGATTGTTGGTGAAAAAATCAAATGGTTAAGCAATTGTTATGTTAAAAAGCAACAATACGAAAGGGGAAGCATGTACCCAGATAGATTACTGTAATCTATCTAATCTAATCTAATGCATTATTTCAATTAAACCTTTAAAACAGCAATGACGGCTACTTTTGTAAAAGATAAACAAGATGAAAATAAATATCTGGCAAGTGTAGGTTTGTATGATCTTTAACTACGCATGTTTAAAACTCATTGAAGGTTTTCACGGTGTGGACAGCAGTTAATGTGGAGGTAACTGCAGGATCCTGTTGGAGCTGTAACAGTGGAAGAAAGGACTGTTTGGACTGAAGAGGGAGAAGAAAGGGACAGTCACATCCTCAGACCCATTTAAACGCTACACAACCACAGCAGAAAACGCACACCTGAAAGCTATACCAGTCAAAAGTGTTCTAACATTTTCTCCAACTTTAGCCTTTTTTAATATAGACACAAATGAAGATAATTTTACCCTCTGTCAGTTTTTTGTGAAGGACTGCTATAAATCTTGCAGCCACAGACTGGTGACGGTGGCTCAGTGTGAAACACAGTAAATCCATGACTCACGCTGTATGTGAATGAGCTGCTTTGGCATCTTGAACTCCCCAGGATACAGAGACTCGTAGTGGGGGATGTTGCACTCGGCCTCTGGCACCGGGATGACCATGTTGTCCCTCTTCTCGCCCCACACCTGCTGCGCTGAGATGGCCCGCTGGAGGTGGTGCTCCTGCAGAGACAGACAGAGGCCATGAGGTTAGAAACGTCACTAGGATTAAAGAGACTGCAGTCATCATCAGGGAAGAGAATATGGACTATCCTGAACAAAGTGTCAAATTATGTATGGCCTTTTGCATGTATCGTCGCAAAATGTCCATCCATCCATTTTCTTCCCCTTAATCCATTTCTGGGTCGGGGGGGGGGGGGGGGGGGGGGGGGGGGGGGTGGCAGTTAGAGCTGCACTCAGTACACAGAGCACCAGCCCCTCACTGATCCTCCTGCAGGTGCTGAGTCCACAGGAGCTGAGATCTTTCAGTGGGGGCTTCGGGCAAAATGTCACAATTGTAAAATATGACAATAACCAAAATGTGTCAAAACATGATTACAAAGCTATTTGGCCTCATACACAAGCCCACAGGAGTTTATTCATTGATTCTGTCAATCTTTTGTAAGAGAACAATCTGTCTCCTTCCCCAGCGTGAGGCACAGAAACGCTCGGGTCCACTTCGGTGACGAAAACCACACTGATGACGCGCATGACCCCGTTTGCTTTGTATTTAAAATGGTTTTAAAATACTTTTGTCAAAACGGGGTAAACAAACAATTAGTATGCTGTTTTTTGTCAAAAATAATAAAAAATAAAAATCAATTAAAAGCCGGCGGGAGGTGATTGACGGATCAAAAGTCCAGCGTCTGTGGTCTGGTCTCGCGGACACCACAGAGCTGCTGTTTTTATGCTTTTGTCAGCAACTAAAAGTGTTAGGATCACGTCAACTTGAATGAAGTATGTTATGGGTGTAAATATGTGACACACTATTTGGCCCGAAGAGGAAGAAAGCGGCTCAACTTTTTTCATCTGTTCATCTCATGGATCTATTATAAACCGGTTCATCTGCGACACTTCACTGAGACTGTTCCAGAACTACAGGGACGATGGAACTGGACTTACTCAAAGGCTGATCTGGAAACACGTTATTCCCACGGTAAAACACGTAACTCGGACCCCTCGATCTGTAAGTAGTGAGGCTAACTCGCTGTATACTTCTGTAAACTAAATAACTAGGGTCTGATTGTGCATCGAGGACATAGGGCTCCATGTGACGGATTGTCATTGCTGGAAAAAGTTTATTCTTATGTATGAAATGACTGAGTACAGGTGATAAACGACAAGAGCGTGATGCTACGTCACCGTGCGGGGAGGCGGGCTCACAGGCAGAGGAGCAGACTCTGGATCAGCTCGTTTGAGTCGAGGTGACGTCACCTCTATACAAGAGATGGCTCTAATCTCACAAGCTTTGATTGTTGTGTGGTGTATCATACACATTAATATCACACATGTGCAGAGGACTGAGTGTGAAACATGAAGAAAAGCGTGATATAGGACCTTTAAGGCACACAGCTAAAGCCAGATCCTTCACACAAGAATCTAAGCAGCCATGACCTTCAATTAACTTGATTAATTTTGCAATTATCCTCTTGATTAATGTACAGTACGTTCGACATAAATATTTGCAACTTGTAACTTTATACGGCTTGCAGAATCATATTTATGTTGGTCTTTAAATCTCTTCTTCATCACTGGCTGGACTAATTGCACCTGTATACAAATCACACCAGCTACATTTGAAGATAAAGTAAATCATGTCCAAACACAAGTCAAACTTGTAAATCCATTTGGACAATAACATTTTGGGAGTCAAAATAAGTCCATAAATTCTGCTCTGACAACGTCATGTACATTTCCCTGTATGCTCTGCTGTTCACATAAACACACTGGAAAGCAGGAATCTGAGCTGTCATTGTATCAACTCTGGGTTTCAACGGCTGATGGAGCCATTTACAAATGTCTTCCTGCACCCTAGGGGGCGCTGCTAAAAACACATACACATGACTACATGGGTCACAGGATTAACAAAACCTTGAAGTCGAGGTGAAGGTGGCTGTAATAGTATTTGGAAGTATTTCATAATTCAATTTTATTTTATGTTCTTTTAAATGACTGCCAAGTCAAATTCACATGTCAGAGATTTATCGATTACTCGTTTCAATAAAACATTCAACACATTCATGGTCAAAACGTAAAGTGCATTAACATTAGGGGTGTGACGATATATCGCGATATATACTTTCTCCCGCGATTCGATTATCGATATATGTTTGCCAAGTATCGATATCGATTTTGAAAAATTAGTATCAATACTCAATATATGGCTACATTAAGCATCTCCATTTATCATGAAAGTATTTTTTCACTTCACATTTTTATTTTATTTATGCCATAAATTGGCATAATTATGGTACATTTATAACCAATACATCGATAATCGTCATATCGTGATAAAATTGTTATCTTGATAAAATCGTGAGCTTTGTATCGTATCCGCAGGTTCCCACCCCTAATTAACATAGCTCTTTTTGTACAATCCACTGCTGCTTTGTGTTTGTTTCCATTGTGAGGTTATTACAAATAAAAATACTGTTGTTGACCATCATGTGCTCCTGAATCCAAGACACCTATAACACAACCTGGTTTCCCAAAAAGATTTCTATCTTTTTTTATTTATTATTGTTTTTGATTGTCTCTCCATCTCTATAGTCATATACTAATGTCGTTCTTAGAACATTCAGAATAAGCCATAAACTTGATTATATCTTGATATTAGGTACAGCCTTCTGCTTTCACTTGTTGGACCTCTGCAGTGCATTACTGACACCATTGTGACGCATCATACAAACAGAATAACAAACAACATGTGAAAGAAGTGACCAAAGGAGCCAATTTACCCACAGTCTGTGTACACTTCACCTAACTTGGATGAAGCAAACACTTCCAAAACCCCTTCAACCAAACAACACAGAGATTAACATTAAGAGATCCTTTACTCGTCCCACAGTGGGAACATTTCAGTAGACATTCTAAGTTGAAGTTGGCTGGATGATGCTTTTGTTTGTGATCTGAAAGCTATTTCGGGTTAACAAGGCAGAGGGCCACAGAGCTAGCCTGACTCTGCCCAGACCCTTGTAGTTCTCCGAGCGTCACAGAGGGTCTGGGTCTAATCCATAGCAGATGAATTTCAGAAGGCGGGCCTTTTAAATGAATCCGTGTATGTGATTGGATAAACCACCTGTCTGTTATCTTGAATGATGTGTTCCTTCAACCACTCACATCGATGCACACAATTCAGCACTCTACTCCTCACAGCGCTGCAGGGTTGCCAAATGCTGGCAAGATTTTCCAGCCTAAAACCTGCTAGAATGCCCCCAAATAAAACATGCAGAATGATTTTTTACCTAAAAACGTAATGTAATCAACTTGGGCTATCACTATTCTGTTTTTATGTATTTATTACCTACAAGTTGTTTGGAAAAAAAGTATGCAGGAAACCAACCAACCTGGCAACCCTGCTACATAGTGTTTCAACAGGAGAACTTAAAGCTGCACTAATGCCGCTTTTCCAGTCCTAGTACGGTACGTTTTGACTCTACACGGCGCGCCATGGCCCCGTTCGCGTGCTTTTCCATCAAAAATAGTACCCCCAGTATGTCCTCAGCGTTGTCAGACCACGTCATTTACGTGTGACGCGTAACTAGTACTGGTGCAGTGCATGGATTTATAAGTGTTTAATAGAAAATTCAACACAGCACGAGTAGTTTTTGAAAATGCTTATGTCTTAAAAGAATGACTCAGACACTGTGAAGTCAATGGTGCCGACTGCTCTGTACAATCTGAATGGACCTGTAGCAACAGCAGCCTGTGTAGCAGAGGAGGGCTGCATGTCCGAGGATACTGCTAGGCTATAGCTAATGCTAACGCTAGCTCGAGACTCAGCTCACTCACTAACCCTGGATTCCAAAGCTACTACAATACTACACTTAACACATCTATCACTACCCTCAGAGGAGGATCCAGGGTTTAAACTCGTCATATGGCAACTCGAGCAGGACAGAGGGAGAGACAGCGGCAGCCACAGGGGTAGCGAGTTAGCGGCTAGGCTAGGCTAAGCTAGGCTAAACTAGGCTAGTCCGGACCAGAGACCAGACAAACAATCGATACCCAAACCTCAGTTACAATAATAATAAATTAATGAAACAGTCTTGATACAATCACAGATTTATTGAAAAGTAAAGTGCAAAACCAGCAGTTTACAAAGTCAAAAGTACGTATGTCAGAGACCAGGTCCAGACCAAGTCCAGACCAGGTCCAGATGAGAATAATCCGGTCACTCATTACTCGTTGGTAATCTCCACACTTATGGAAAGGGATTCTCAAACAAATACACACAACAACATAAATACAAGCACAAAACAGAAACACGTGAATACTGCAGATAATACGAGATAAAGCACAGTAGCACAGGAGGACGTTAGCTTAGCTGCTATCGATAGCTCATAGAGGCTAAATGTAGCTAGCTCACTGTGTACAACAGACAATCAAACATGTACACAGTAAATACATTTCAGTGAGAGCTTTAGGGGGTTCGTAGCTAACCAGTTATTTCAGGATTACCACAGACTAGTCACAAATCCAGAGCAATCTCCTGAAAACTGTGTTGAGCCTCGAGCTGCCTTTGAATTCTTTCTTTGGCCTGAAGAGAGGAACGTGTGGACCTCTTCCACCGACCAGGACCAGGACTTTTGGGGCTTTCTGTGAGATTCCATTTCTCTGGAGTGAGGAGGACGTAATGTAGCCGAAGCAGAGCCAAGCAGAGCAGCCGCTTTTAAAGATGGCGGTTGAGTTGTTTTTCCCAAAGGGTCAGAGGTCGCTTCCAGTGACGACACTCGTTGACCAATCAGTGTAAGGCAGTGGGCCGACGTCACGTCATGGCACGGGTACTATGGGGATGGAACCAAGGCTGAGGCAGTACGGAAAAGTACTCAAATCTCCCATTCCATCCACTAGTGGAAACGCAAAATAACCGCGCTGAAGCGTACTGTACTGTGGGAAAAGCGGCATAACTAACTTTGGGATTTCGAAGCAGCGGACTCGCTGGCCTCGCTCTTTCTCCTCCC